TTCCCATCCATCAGAAACTTTATTGCGTGCGAGTATACTGATGATGTAGTGGTCGGCTGTTCCTTGAATGATCCTGACTGTTTCTGTCAGCTTCAAATTTGTTTAAATAAAATATTTAGTTGGTCGACGCCCAATCTTTAGTATTTGATGTAGACAATTGTTAACATGTTTCTTTCAGTCTTAAAACAGTCACGTCTTATCAAACTCTTTTGAGTAACCAGGCTGAACTATGTCAAATATGTTGGGGACTATCGTAAGCTATCGTTTTACGCCTTTAGGCTTAAAAACTTCGGCGTTCCCCTAAATGTAATTCCTGAATTTTTGACTTCATGCATTCTTCCTGTTCCCCCGTACATTTTCCTGGTCTGAAGGAGGAAGCCTTTATTCTCTTTTCCAGATCTCTTTCCCGTTGTAGTGATATTTCAAAGACCGTTTTGGTTAATTTTTTTGTGAGTAAGCATTTTGATTTAGGCGATCGATTCATCAGCCATGCACTGTCCAATGAAGAACACTGCTTACACGCCCATCTCAATAAATCGGTGTCCCATCCGAGTACCCGTTCCAAATTTAGGATTTTTTGTGCACGCACCGCCATATACAAACACAGCATCATCCCTTATTTTGCCCGTATCTTGGTCAACCCATCAATCATTATTACTGACATGGAAAATCATCTGTCACATTAGGATTTTATCACATCCATTTGTTTTTCATTTAGTAAATGTATATTCCTCTTTTTTCAATCCTTAGCGTTTTTCTCATTGTAACTTGTGGAAAGTGTTGAAAATTCATCCCATTGGGTGCATAAAGCCCTACTTAACTTGACTTTACCTAAAATAGAAGTTGAATAGCACAGGACAATGTGAAATTTGTCTGCACTTCTCAAATTCAATGCGAAAATTTACCAAACAGATTGTACATTACCTAGGTGGGTGAACGAGAGCTGTAATTAGCTTATTCTTCCAAAACATTCATAGATGACGCGCTTCGTTCATACCTTGATGTTCTGCTTTTCACCTCTATTTTTCACCGTGGTACTCACGTGCATATCGTCATCCCATCAAGCCGAAAATGTTCCGGCTTTTGATCCCCAGACAATGTTCACATGCTCTCCTGTGACCGACAGCTCCGCCCTCACCCCTTCCCCCCCCCCCCCCTCATCGAGGGAGACAATTACCAGGGATTCCAAAATGACACAGAATATTGTATAATAGTTTTGTACACAAAACTGGAAACATTCCTTTTGTTTGGCCTACCTGTGCACCGGTTTCTTCCTCAAAATTGTAGAACGTAAAAGTCCAGCATCGGGAATATTGTTGTTCCATCTGTGATTCGATTGAATGCGATGTGCACGGGAACGGTTTGTTACACAATTCGGGTGCACAATCACGAAATTTCATTCCGTCGAAGTGATTGTGCCCAAATTTGTTCGTTCCGTTTGTCTGTGCCGCCGCGTCCTCATATTCACACATTCGATTCCACTGATCCAGTAGACTAGCTCGTTTTTTGTCCCGTCTCGCCGCAGATGCTGGTCGTGTTGTACTCGTCGTCGTCGTAGTTGTTGTTGTTGCTGCTGTTGTAGTCGTCGCAGTTGTTTGTGTTGTTGCTGTTCGATTGGGCCGATGTGCATTCTCTTTGTCACACTGACCGGTAGACGTGCAAAGAAAGAATGAGGCCGGTGTCGGATAACTGACATTTTGAGGGAATGTCTTATGCATGCTGATAACATGAATATTAAAAAAATCAAGAACAGCACTGGCTGAAACAGGTCAAACGGGTTACAAAAAACGATTTAGAAGAAAAGTGATGGTTCAGAAACAAATTCGTTGATTTAACCGAGACTAATGATGAGGACGAGAACAAGGAGCGCACCAGGTATTGTCACATGTAATCCTCAACAGATATATCCCATTTGGACAGATAAGATTGTTTAACAAAGGCTAACTAGAGAGGGACAGAGAGTCAGCTACAAACTGACAGTTGCCATGGCTATGTGTGTCCTGCTGTAAGAAGCACAAAACGAGTGATACAACCTCTCGGGTAGTGACAAATGGCCACAGCCGGATTTAGCATACTGAGCATGCTGGATTTTAAAGTATCAAATACTGCAGAATCTAAACCATCCATGTCGGCCGCTGCTCATGTCATCGAAGAATGTACACCTTAAGGGACACAATTTCAAGTTACTGATTTAAAAGTGTTGACTAGAATGCCGGCGCCAATCTTTGGCAGTCAGATTATGCAGTACCTTGAACATCTGGAATTCCATCTCACATCATTTTTGCTTCAACTACTGAATCTATCAAGCGGAGACCCTCACATTCCTACACAAAAACCTCAGATTTGTTGGAGAATACATCATTTGTTATCTGCTACCTGAAACTCTATGTCTTATTGTTCGCCAGAAACGATTGAGCTGTGTGAATACCCTACGGGTACAGGAGAAGCATGAGCTTGTAAGTAATTCCTATAAAAAAGCTGTCACTTTGACTTTGAGTATAGCCTAATACTCAATTTAGTAAAACTCGCTATGGGAGATAGATAACAGATTGGCCTGTTAATCACCNTTAATCACCCATTGCGTCAAAATTTGCATTTCCAGTAAAAAAAAATCTTAGCCTCCATGGTGGCATAAATGATGTTTGTATTCTATGCTGGTTGGGAGGTAGCGGAAAACATTTTCCTATGCTCGTGAATCGTCGGAAACGAGCTGTAACCTAAGTAGAATTTGCGTTCACGCATGAAGCGTGATAGTATTAATATACCTAGGTGACAAATTTACAAATCGTTACCATAGAAACTCTCCTTACCAGATATCTCATTTAAAAAATATATTTCCCTTTCTGAGGAGCAAGTATCGGTGTCAGCGAGAGAAGTACAATTTCGTTCATGTATTCTGACGTATTGCAAACAATCTTAACAGGAAAGCAATTGCACCTGGCATTCAGGTTCGGCATTTCGATACTGCCGTCCTCTCCTAATGCAGTATTTTCTAAAATGGGTTATCATACGCCTGATTATCGAATCAGACATGAACCATCGGGTCTGGTGTCACCAAAAGTGCACCAAAAGAGGACGATAGTTTTATAATTTTGATCGCTAATCGCGCATCTCATGGTACACCTGAAAACAACAAAATGCTTCCAGATTGGTTGTGTAGTTTGTACTCTGGGTGACTGGAACTGTTTATCCCCGGGCAAGCAATGCGTCTATCTGGCTCATTCCGGTCGCACTCAATGCATTATTTATCCGGTCTTGATCGGGGGTGTGGGGTGAGTTCACATTTTTCGATGGAACAGCATTCATGTATGGGACTTCAAGCACGTCCGCACGTGTGTGCGCGCACGCACGTACGCCAAGCAAGTCGAATCGATTCCATTGGGGCATCAACTATAAATGGTTGCGCGCGCTCTCTTCTGTCCACCAGCAGACGGGTAAAAGTATATCACGGGCAAGCCACCGGATTGCCTAGCATTGACTGGCAATTAGAAACAGACATGATACAAACAGATCAATGGATAAACACACACACATTACGTGGTATGTATAAGGAAGTGATAGGAGATAGGGGATTGGTTGCCACCATTCTGTTCATACGTGAACTGTTGTTTTCTCTCCTTCTGGATCGCTACTCCTCCAGTCGCTGTACAGTTCTGATCAAGCAAGTGATTGTGCGGGCTGCAGGAAATCGGCGTATGGGTGTTGGATTACGCAAACTACAAGTTTGATAGGTACATTAGTTTGCAAACCGTAAGCTTCGCAAAACTATTTTTAAACCATGTGCACTCAGCTTGATGATCTCATTCAAAACAAATTCATTGCACAACATGGTCTTGAATCAGTTATCATTGTGCCCCACGAGACACACGTATGCACTCAACCGTTATAGATGAACGTGAATGGACGAATGCTTTTTTGCCATTTTTCGTTTCCATTAGTTTAGAGAGAAAGGAGGAGTTGAATTGTAGGAAATTATCAAGTGTATTGTAAATTATGGTCGTCTTAGCATTCTTTATATGCATGTAACCGTATAGCACTCCGACAGTTGCATAAACTTACGGAAAACGGAAGTGCATGCGTGGTCCCATCTAACAGAGTGCAAACGTTATTCGGTACCATTGCTGCTCTGTGTTTCATCCCTATTGGTCTATTCGCACAACGGAAGTCCGTCAACACATTAGAATCGAAATGAACGCAAATTGGCTGATCATTGTTGGGCTTCTGATTGTGTGAAGAACCGTCAAATTCGATCCATCGTTTTGAAGGAATCTCAATCGCACCGAATGGACCACGTGATCTGATTCCCGGGAACACAGAATTCGGAGGTGGAGGTAATTTGCGAGCAACCGGTGTTGCAACCATCTCGTTAAGATGACGGTGATTGGATAGATGACGGTTACGATGTCGGGGTGGTGATGATGATTTTGATCGTAGAATCGGTCCAGGCCGACTGGAATCACTGAGATCCAAATAAGTGACATCCGTGTTCTTGTCAATCAGATGATCATATATAGTGCGATTCTCGTCCGATTTCAGTGAATCGCCTTCCGCCGCCACGTATCCGGTTAGGTACGGATGATGTGACCTTGTCAAGCAATCGTCTGGTCGTGTGTGTTTTGTTCCCGCCGGACGTGGATGCCACGGAAATGTTGGCTGTTTCCAGCCCAAACCACCGGAACCATCTGGATCGAGTGGTTCATAAGAAAACGGAGGATAGCCTAAACCTGGTGGTGGCTTATTACTGGATATCCGATACCCGACAGAATGTCGAGGATTTACCAAACGTGTGGTGTCCGCGATATCCGGTTCACCAACGTCTGAATCGATCGTGTGACCTTGGTTGAGTCTAACCCACGGGGAACTTGGATGCAGTTGGGCCAGCATGCTGTCCACTATAGTTCGAAGCATGCCGAATCTGGTCCAGGGTTCATGTGCCTGAAAAAGCAGAAGGGTAAATCGGTTATGACAAACATTATGCAGTTCTGGAAAGAGTTCAACAATCCAATCCTAAGATAGTAGTTATCTAGCGTTTCGTTTAGTTACTGACCCAGATTCTTTGATTTTAGCCTTTCAGTAACAGGTAATTGGTTGTAGTCCTCGTAAACAGATTGTGGAACTCATTGATCGCCGAGAAATAGACGCAATTGAAGCCATATGATAAGACTCTTGCTTAACTGTTCAATCACATTCTCTACTTACAAAACACTAATCGATATTTTAACTTTTCTCACTGGGGGTATTCGTCCAATTTTGTTCCAGATTCACTCAACTGACGGAAATCAATCGAGCAATAATTGACAACCAAAACATTTTGAGAGCATTTAAAAAACATAGTGCCGTTTGTGGAGGTGTGGCGAATGAACGTTTGGCTCCCACGGGCCGAAAATTGTGACAGAAAATTGGACGTTTAACGGAGTTCGTGGTGGACGGAGTACTTTATTTGAAAGAACAGGGTTGGGTCCCCGGGAGAACCCAAAAGAGTTACATGTGAAATGTATGTAGATTAAGAATAAACTAACCTCAACGAAAACAGAAAGGAGAACAATCTACGTTTGCTACTCTAAAAAAGGAGAACAATCTTGTTTGCATCGTTTCACAGTCATGCCAATTTAATGCGAAGATAGAACATCAGATTCCGTTGCCCTATTAGGCACCTAACGGTTCGTTTGCTCATACAGGGTGAAGTATTTAGCCCTATGAATAAGTGTCTGTCCAAATGCAGACAAGAGCATCATTCTGTGTCACCAAGAATTGGAGTAGCTAAGTCTATCTACAATAGGATCGTTCCTCATCCGGTTGACTATAGCCGCCACGTCAATAGCCTCCGGAAGCCTCAGTATGATCGGACTGGATGTCTCGGATTGTGAGTGGTTTCCATTCCTTTGCACCTCGTGAAATACGATTATATGACCGAGCGTCTCGAACAGCCTCTGCTCAGCAAGCCCTACTCAGTGCCTTCCGCGGCAGACGGAGGTCTTTTCCCATCAAAAGTGAGAGGACAAAAAAGCCAACATCCGGGAATATAACCAGTTTGTGGACCACTGGTAGTTTACCTAGGGACGTTGACTAAAAACATGATTCCAAACCAATCAAGAGGAGGCATACGAACCACACTTACACCGTCTTGGTTGTGACAGTGGTCATGGGCTCGATTGGGCATCGAGGTGTATTGGGCACCTTGGACGTTTGATTCCGTCCAGAGGGCGTATGATCCAATGAACAGGACACCGGCCCCAATGGACTTCGGATCCTGACCTCCGTTGTGTTGTCTTACAGGTCTGGCTTCTAGCTGAAGGTTTCGGGTGGGGACCCCTAGATTTATCCCCTTCGTCGGTCAGGGCAACCGGGAAGTAACATGCCCACGCAACCTATGAACACATTTTACAGATTTTTTTGTCCATATGTTGTGGCATATTTACCAGTTCTCTTGAATTGCTTACGTATTGAAATGAAAAATAGGTCACTGAAGCATTCTGTACAGCGTTCAAACGAGGCGATCTTTGCACGTGCAGTTTCGATTTCTGACTAGAGCGGACAGAGTTGAGACATCTGTCTTCCCAACCCCCTTTTATGTGCTCAAAAGCAATTTGTGTCAGCACTTGAGCTGCCACGGTCAAGTGACCCATCCTGAAGAATCTGAAAATGAAAGATAATTGACTCTTAACAAAAACCACACTCAACTTGGGCGACAATATTTTCCTTTGCAGAACCGTTAGCTCGAATTAGTCATGTACATTGCGGTGTATTGGCATAATTATAACACATTGGAAATGAGCTTGTTTGTCATTATGTGTGCCAATCATGTCATACCGTGCGACTGACTAGGTCAAAACACACGTGGAGCATCTGGAAAAGTACACCGTTTTAGTTAAGCGAACTGCGACAGCTTATTTAATTTTGCTTCATTCATACACTCCAACATTTGTTGAACACAACGGTACAGTGATAGTATCCGAAGAAGGGGTTCCGAAATGCACTACGGAGAAACTGGGACAGTGATCCCACAGTACTTCCTTGAAATGTCATTTTGAATCCTAACGGCAAACAATTCAGGAACTCATTCGCATGACTGATTATCACACTCCGGGACTGATTCCTATCGGATTAGGAGGGGGCGAGTGAGATAACCGGTACCAAGCCAGTTTGCTAAAGAATGGGAAATAATTATTGTGTAATGGTATGCTTATGAATGACTGAGAACGAACTTGTTCGTCACAGTTTTATTTTTATCAAAATGTGAATTGTTCTGTTGCATAAAGCAAAATTGTCTTTCAGGTATGTTCCCCATTTTAAAGCTTTTTTAGTTCACAAATTCAATCCATATTTTCCTAATTTGTTCGATGTAATAAACGTGTACATACACTAACTGCATCATTCGTTCGAGAAGACGCTGACTTACCAGACGCCCTCTATGTCTGATTAGGAGAACTAACATTTTCTATTGGCTGAACCCCGCCTCGCCTCCACTCTGTTCGCGAAAAACAACTTAGATAACTATACAAAAAACCGGTCTGACACGGATGAAGGATTAGGCGAATTAAGGGCTTCACACCTCGTTCAGCTGTTCATTCCAGAACTTTCGATTGACGACACACAAGGTGAGCACATTTCCACTGAGGGTCATTGCAAAATGACAGAGTTCAGTTGACAAAACGTACCGGTCTGTACCGTTGAATTTCTGGATTTGAATCTTACTCACATTTGTTTTCTGCTTATTCCCAATCTCCAACCCCCACCCCTCTCCGGGCAGTACACTGGAAAATAAAAAGAAACATATTTTAGGGCCAACGAGTACTTGTACTCACATGGAATACAAGTAACTACATATTTTGAAAATAAGTTTGCGCTTATTCCAATGTCAGTGAAGTACCAGGTAGCAGTCCCGACCGTTCTTTATTCATTGTGGTCAACTGGAAAATCATAGTCCCATTTGGGACAAAGATTGTTCTGTCGCGATTTTTGCTTGGCACACAGGATGGACTGAGTTACCTTAAACATGTGGTAATATCCGTTACAAAATATTATTTATGAATATCTACCTACTGATCCTAATCTGTGCCTAACCTGTTTCTGCTTGACAAGTCAAAAATGTTTGAGCGTTTTTCAGTTTCAAATTAATAGAATTAGTTATGCTGGTCAGATTGCCCACTGAGTACATCAAGACCCATATCAACGCCGTCGTTAAGAACACAATTATAAAGAAGTAAGCACTAGGAGACAAACTCTCGACTGCTTTCAACATTCTTTTTCCACGTTTATTTTTGTGGTTACATTTGTGTCCAGGTAGCTCTCATCAACATTGTACAGCATTCGCACTGCTGCTTTTAGTCTTTTAGTTCAGCTAGTTTCATGTTTTAATCAACGACAGTCAGGTGGCGAATTAAAAACAAAACAAATTGTTACTGTTTGCACTGTGGCTTCGGTTGTGGGTGAGCTCATTCTGTCACCCAGTCCACCGCCCGGAATAATCAGTTATCGATCAGGATCACGTGATCACCAGCTGTAATTTTGAAGAAGCTCTTTTCAGTAAAAGTTAGCTCCAAACGCGGAACTAGATTACCCATGGTGAATCCAAATGAGAGAGAAAAATTGATGGTGACATACGGTTGAAATTTACAACCGGAACGGATTCGTATGGATGTAGTGGTTTACGAAAACATCCGTAATAAATCCGCATTTTCGTGGAGCACACCAATTCACGATGGCCACTGATGTGGTGTGAAACTCATACTGATGCTTAAGTATGCCACAGAGAGTCCGTAATTCATCGAGAAATTTGCATCAGGCACCAGATTCAATCCATTTTCTTCTCTATCGTGTTAAAGCTCATCCGTGGAATAGGATTAACAAAGTTTAGGCGCATCTAGGATCAAACTTGCACCCGTAGGATTGGCCGAGCTGTTGCGCAAGCCTCAATGCGCAAAGAGAATGGACCTGAGATCATCCGCTGTTTTCAAATAGGAGCCAAATTACATCTGACCTAGTGCTTATCATTAGCATTCATAATCATGCTAGTTGGAAACCAGTATATACTTTGGACAGCTCAAGCTAGTTGCCATTTCGTGCAACATATTCCTGTCTCTGAATTTCAACATGCGTCACGTGATTGTCACGGGTTCAGTTTATTTCTGGTCCCAAGGCGGTGCCCATTACTTAAAGTTATTTCCTGTCAGGGGGCCGATAATGAGGTGTGTCGAACTCTTGAATAAGACAGTGCGAGATTAGCACTGTAGAACAATGAGTTAATACGTGTGTTTGTCTGTGTGTGTGATAAGGAGCTTGTGGGAACCAGGATGAGGGGTTTGTTTCGTTCAATCAAATGAGGGTAATCAGTGCATCTGTCTTTCCTGTTTTCCTCGCGATACAACTGAAGGGGAAATCTGCTTTCTAAACGTTACATAGGCGGATTTAAGCATAGGCTATTGCACACAAAATTGGCTGTTTTTTTCCGTCCAGAAAGAGGGAACATCTGTGGGTGTTAAATGTGGTCTTGAATGCGTGAATAACTGTGCCTACGCCAGTGCATGTTTGCTTGTTTTACTGCGTATGCCAAGCATTGTTCGACNGAAACTCGTTGTCCCGTGAGTAAGTGCTTGAATGATGGCCGTGATCGCCTACACTTTTGTGTAAACCGGTAAATTTTATTTTGGATACACCTCGAAAATATTCTCATCTCGTTTGATGAATATAGATGGGGTCGCCATCGGTAGTCCGCTGGGACCGATTCTTGCGCACATGTTCCATGGTCACCTGGAAGAAAAGCTTGAAGAAGATATTTCAAAACTAGATCTATACTGTCTTTATGTTGATGACATCTTCGTTATAAGCCATTTGAAGGGAGACTCAACACCATTCACCCCAACATCAAGCTAACTCGTTACGATGAAAAGGAAGACCGCATCGAGTTT